CAGTGGGGTGAGACCAAAGTCCTCTTTGTCTCGCTGGTTTGGTGCCTTAGAAGTAAAGGAAACCTTTACTGTGACTGCCCTGCTCTGAGCAATTTGTCCTGAATTGATATTCTCAGAAGTGTCCCGCCGGGGGGCTTTGGGCTGGGGGGAGAGAGCAGGCAGAGCCCCCCTGGATGCGGGACAGACTAGGTGTGCTGTGCTGAGGGAGGCCAGGTCTGAGGCCTGGAGAGTTTCCCATACTGGGTTCAGATGCTCAATAAACCCTCCTGCTTTACGCTGGCTGAGAGTCGCTCTGGTTTAGAGACTGGGGGGGGGGGATTGCTCCCTCTGGGGGTGGAGGCCCCGGGGGTCCAGAGCGAGGGGACTCCCCGAGGGGGCCCACGGCAGAGACAGACGTGCTAAGGCTCAGAGAGGTGCGGCTCCAGGAGGTGGAGGGGCCTGACCCCGAGAGAGAGTGGACCCCTGAGAAGGGCTGTCACACTGAAGGGGGTTCCCCCCACGGACCGCACGGAGCTGAGAAAGCCCGAGTCCTGGGAGTCCGTGACCATTGTAAGTGGAGTCTCTGTGCCAGGATCTAGGTCAGTGACGAGGATATTGAACAGAACCGGCCCCAGAACCGATCCTGCGGGATCCTTCTCCCATTTCGAAATTCCCAACCAGCTCCTCCCTATTGTCCCAGTCGCAGGCCGAGCCGCCTCTCCTCAGGCGCCTTCTCCCCCCGCGGCAGGAAGCTGCCTCCGGCGCAGGATCTGGCCCCGCTGTGTCACTTCCCCAGCGGCGTCTGGGCAGCTGAATTCCGCCCCCGAGTCCTGGGCTTCGGAGGGGTTTGTTGGTTGTTTATGAAAAGCCCCCCCGCCCCCGCGCGCTGGGCTTCCCTTCTGGCCGTCTGGCAGTCCCTGCGGGGGGTGGGGGGGCACTCACCGCTTGATGGAGCTGTAGTACTGGTGGATGAAGTCCCGGGCCAGGGGCAGCAGCTTCTCCTTGGGTGGGGGCCCCTCGTCTGCCTGGCAAACCATCTGCTTGGGGAACATGAGGGAGCCCAGACACCGCTTCCCACTGCAGGGCAGCTCCTGGAGCACAGACAGACAGACAGGCTATTGGAGTCAGACCCAGTAAGGACCCCAGCTCCGGTGCTGCAGGGCCCCTCTCCCCCCACCAGTACCCCGACCCACAGCCCCCTGCTAGCCCAGCCCTGGGATCCCCCCTCCACAGCCCTGCCGGTGCCCCTCACTCCCGACCCGCAGCCCCCTGCTAGCCCAGCCCTGGGCTCCCCCTCCCCAGCCCTGCCGGTGCCCCTCACTCCCGACCCGCAGCCCCCTGCTAGCCCAGCCCTGGGATCCCCCCTCCACAGCCCTGCCGGTGCCCCTCACTCCCGACCCGCAGCCCCCTGCTAGCACAGCCGTGGGATCCCCCCATCCTTCTTCCCAATGCCTGTGAGGAGTGGGGAAGTTTTGTAATATGTTTATGTCCACCAGGCACGGCTACACTTTGGGTGGAAACAGTTGCCTCGCCATCACCCCACTCCTGAAAGGAGCAGCGAGGTGGGTCCTCCAGGCCTGCCTAGAGAGGCTGAACAGAAGCAGCCACTCAACATGCTCAGCAAAAGGGAGGTGCAGGGTGGGAGCAGGTCAGTCCCTGGCAGGGACCAGGGGGCGGGGCAGGGCAGGGCAGGAAGGGTCAGAGCAGGGTGGGACAAGGCAAGGAGGAGTGGGGCAGGACAGGTTAGTGCAAGGAGGGTAGCACCGACCCTGCAGATCCATGACAGCTGGTGGTAGCGGTGGGATGGTGACTCCACCAGGAGTACTTTGCAGCAGTAAACCAAGGGTAGTGAAAGGAAACAGCAAGACAATGGCGTGCAACCACCTCCCTACGGTCATCGCAATCCTGGACAGGGAGACAGCCAAGAGCTGGGAAGCTGAACAAGGCGCAGGTGAAGGCATGGCTGGAGACAGATGGCTGGTCCAAGAAGCCGGTTCCAGACCCAGCGGGGTTCCAAGAGGGTTTGGAAGCAGCAGAGGCAGCAGCAGGGTGTCCACGAGACCTGGTTCCCCGCCCAGCAGGGGGTCTTCCCGGCCAGGCTCCCCTTTGATGCTGGGAGTTGGAGCCGAGAGCAAAGCAGCTACTAGCGCACGAGAAGCAGCAACAACTGGAGCTGGAGAAGCCGAGGGGCAAGAGGCCCCACTAGGGGTATGTGGGGAAAGGCCCCAGTTTAACTGGGGGGGGGGCTACAGGTGCTGACCTCACTGCCTTTGGGAAGGCCTGGGATTTGAACCAGGCTGGCCTTGCAGACCGGCTC